GTCGGTTACACTTAACGGTAATATGCAATCACGTATTTGTCGCTGATTTGTTGCATGTGTATACCTTTGAAAATGGGATATGTAATTCCAAAACATCAGGCCAACCAATAGATGTAAAAGGTCGGCGATATAATTCTTAGTCTCAATGGCGGACGGGCAACCATAATAAAAAAAACCAGAGCAAGAACAGAGACAAACTTACTAATGCATCTATGCCATGACCTTTTCAACATTTGTATAGAAGACTTCTTGCTGCCTACCTTTGCCAATATATATATATATATATATATATATATATATATATATATATATATATATATACGTACATATAGTTCAGTTATTCATTTAACGTTTCGATCAGCTCCATGATAATTTTCCAACTTAAGTATCGCGTTTGAAACATAAGGTTACAGAACGTCCACGAAAGTTCGTTTTATCGTATTGCCATCGAATGCATCGTCGAAAAGTTTTCAAAATAACATTTGCATGCTGCAGGCATTCAAAAAACACCTAAACAACCGCATTCAAAACTTACTACCCCTTAGGTTTGCATTAGGGGGGGGGGGGGGAGATGGCGTATCAGTCGCATGCCGTGAAGTGGTAGTTGTCTGAGTTGTTTGTTTTGTGTGTTGATAGATACCAGGTCTCTGATGCATGATGCCTAAATTGCGGCAAGGCACATATGTTCTGTGGCGTGCGCAAGCATGGTAGTGTTCATCAACAAGATATCTCTGGAAAGTGGGATGTTGCGGTGTGTCCGTGCACGTGATTTCGGTGCTTACTGCGTACACCACCGTATTGGCCGTGCGATTACGCGTCTAATGGCATATAATACAATGAGATTCAATCACTTGCAACATTGCAAACGACACGCAATGATGGAATACAAAATCATAGCCGTTGTTTTCAACATGGAAGTGAACACAAAGCTCACCATGGATACTCTGTTGCGAAAAGATCAAAATACTGAAACGGATGTTTTTGGCCTAAAAAGAGGACGTGTACGTGTGTGTGTGTGTTGAGCATGTGTACGAAGCGGATGCATGTTCTGTAACGGTTTACGTATTTACACGAAATGGCCATTTTTCGCCATGATTCCACGTTAGTTATACCTAACGGAAAACCTACCAGCATCGGGCAGTTTGTGTGACACCGTAGCATGGGAAGGCAATTATGCGTCAAAACACGTGTAACGCAACACATTTGCAGGATTTGAAAACGGTCGATTTTTTGTAGTAAAACGTTCCAAGCTAATATTTCTCGAACACATGAAAATGGAAGGCTGCTTTTACTTGCAAACGATGTAAAACGATGTTGCAAGTTGTTGTCTACATTCTTGATCATCTGGTGATTAAAAACAAATTTGAGTGACCACTTTTTCGAAAAAAATAATTTTTTAAATGCGGTTCTTCATTATAAAATGGAATTGTGTGGATATATATATATATATATATATATATATATATATATATATATATATATATATATATATAAGCCCCGTTGTCATTAGGGCTTTAAGACGAGTCATCACTATGCCCGTGCCTCTCCATTAACGAAATCCTGCATCGACGCATTTAGCCAAGCGACACCCTTCTTTTGGCCCACCACTACATTTATTTCCTTGAGAAACGAAATGCAAGTGGGCGATTGAAAGAACAATTGAAGGTGGTATAAAAATCTCCTTTCAAGGGGCACCGAAATACAGGGGCACCACAGTTGCCCTGCTTTACAACAACACTGCAATTTTTTTCATCTATACACAAAACAATAAAACTCAACATTCTGGATGCATTTCTCATTCATGGCCACAAACGACCTCCGAGCAAAGAAATTAATCAAACTGCTGAATTATCTCTTTGGAGCAGCTTCACAAATAAGTCTTGTAGACAAAGAACAAGACCGTGGTGAATGGCGCAGGCATCGGGTGAGTGGCATGCGGTGTTATGATTTGCCGTGTTGACTGTGTTATTCACAATATTTGGTGCTAATTATGTCTTCTGCACGGCTAAAGAATTGTTTGTTGCTTCCAAATCAAGATGGCAGCGAGTCCCGTCCAGTGAAAAGCTTATTATTGGTTTGCAGGCTCGTGTTTCATATTCTGACTTGAGGTGCTTAAGGTACCGAAATGCAAGGAAGAGACAGATATATGGAAGTCAGCCACGAGTACTCTGCAAGTTCTGCGAGCTTCGTGTGTCCGTCATCATACAACTATATATTACATCATCGTTAAACGATCTGTGCGATTCGGGGAAAAGCACCGGTTAGAACTAACACGTCACTATATCGGAGTAATCGGAAGCAGTAAACTTCACGGTAACTAAATCTCCACACATGTACACTGCGAACATGCTTGAAAACTGGAGAAGGCCTTTTGCTTTGTGAGCCCCGTAGAGTTCAGTGTTCTATCCGCCAAAAATCCTCGTGTTCCAGGCCATTGCGTTTTAATATTCTTATGTATATGGGGGAACCTAGCGTACTGCGCACAGCCCCAGAAAACTAGGCGTGCTTCGTATGCAAATGCATGGAGCTTGCTCAGTTTCGTCGGATCATGGTGGATCCTGTGATTTTAAGGCTAAGTATTTCGAAGAAAACCTGACTAGACCTAAATTGGCTGCTAAGTACCATGAAAATCAAGCCCAAGCTTGATTCCTAGCTTATATACGGTTAGCCGGGTTGTTGATTAGATCAGCTGATGGCTGAGGACTAATATAGAGTTATTGCCTTTTTCTGTTGCAGGGCAATACAGAATATCATATCGTTCAAAATATATCAAAACGTAATGTACAAGTAAAATAATCGTCACAAATTACATGAACAGCGGAAATAAGTTGCGTGACGTCGGTGGCATGTAAAATTAAGTTCGACAATGGCAAGAACAAATTCATCGGCGTAATCTGCATAGCCGCAAATTCAGTCATCAGTCAGTACGAAGTAAAACCCCAATCACGAATTTTAAGATTTAGGTCCCCGTCAACGGCGTAGGCCCTCATATAATATGGGAAAACCTGAGACCAGTAAGGGCAATTAAAACTGCCGTGGCAGGCCAACAAAGAGGCTCCAGTGAGCAGTGAAGAGTCCTCATAACAAGCGAGGACCTAACATCGATATGGTGGGGCTCCTGGACGATCGGGAGTACCCTGGCAGGCAAACATATAGGGTCCGGCCAGAGTACAGGACCCCTGATCAAAGGGCAATAACCGAAGATCAGCGTACATGAATTAACGCCCCTGCGTGATCAAGAATGTCCGGGCAGATTTACAGAGAGAACTCTGACAAGTGAAGGGTCCTCAGCAAATGAGCTCAAAAAGGGAAAGAGCCATAGGCAAGTGAAGAGGGCCCCTGAGCATCGAGTGCCTCGGAGCGTTACCTTACATAAGGCTCCAGCAACAGCACGGGGTCCTCCAAGCAAGTGGAAGCAACCCGACATGAAGAACCCGATACCAGTATGAAGCGCCCCAGAGCAGCCGAGTGTACACCGGCATTTGGGGCCCCGGCAGCAGCGGCGGGGTGGGGGAGCCCGCTTGCCCCGCTGGCGCAGCGGCCATCGCCGAGCCCGCGCCGCCCGCTATGTCTCCGGTTGCACCGCCGCCCGGCGCGTGTGCGCCTAGTCCGCCGGTGAGCACCGGGGCGCGACCGTACCCAGGCCGGACACGGCCGCCAGGCGTCTAGGTGATATATAGTAACCATGTCTCACTGTACGCATCACGTGATCACCAGTGGAATGCCAGGTTGACTGTGCCATCTGTTGATAAAAGAGGGAAATAGCGGCAGGACTCAAAGATGTTTCTGTAGTGTTATCTAGCGGCAGGATTCCAAACTAGCCTGGTTGCCATGGATACTGGACGTTTTCAACACTGGACTTCAGGACTCTGAAGTCTGCGACTCTGGACGTCACGTCCCTGGACCTTACGAACGCCCCCAATTTTCGATGGCTCCTCGTTAGCGCAGCGAAGCAAGCGTGGAAACGCTTGAATCAATACCATACTCGTCCGGGCAGGGTCTAAAAACCGGCATGTGACGCAGACACGCAAGTTTTCCGAAACAGCTCATCCGATCGTCGTTAAACCTTCGCCGATAGATTCCGCGTCATGAGGTGAATCATGGAGAAGCAATATCAAGGCCTGACCTGAGGTCAAACACCCCGAAAACGTGAAGGGAAAATTCTACATGCAATGCAGACAACTCAGATCTCAGAGCTTACTGGACCGATCACTGTGAAACCTTCACCATTGAATGCCCAATACCTGATTCCATCTTACGGTTCCAAAGTTGAGGACCTTAGGCCACGTCAAACGCAAAGTACAAAATTCTTGCCTGCAGACCACTTATATCTCAGAATCTACCACGCCGATAGCTGCCGAACGTACCATTCAGTACGCCATCTACCCTAATTCTCTTTTAGATATTTACTATATACTATTTGTTCCAAGCAATAATTTTGGACTTCGTGAAGTGGACGTCTTTTGACCTAACCCAAAGTTCGCAAAATTGGAACTGCAAGAGGGAACCAGGTATCGGGCATCCAATGGCAAAGGTTTAGCAATGCTCGGTTCTGTAGGTTCTGAGCTATGAGCTGCCAGCAAGCAATAACTTTGAACTTTGTGAAAGTTGACAAATTTTGACCTGACCTGGGGTTACCAAATGCGGAATTGTAAGAAGGTATCAGGTGCGGGGCATCCGATGGTGAAGATTTCACAGCAATCGGTCCAGTGGGCTCCGAGATGAGTTGTCTGCGTCTGCATGTAAAATTTTCCCTTCGCGTTTTCGGGGTGTTTGACGTCAGGTCAGACCTCAATATTGCTTCTCCATGAATCAACTCATTGTACGGAATCGATTAGTGAAGATTTCAAGGCGATCGGAGGAACCGTTTCGGAAAACTTGCGTGTCGTACTATACCCCGGAGCTCCAAGTACGAATCGGTTCTAAGCACGGTTCCCCTTTTCGTAAGAATTTATACTAAATATTCTCGAGGACTGCATGATCCTTGGTTGTGGCCGGTTGTGACTGGTGTTCCATTGCCCTGGTTGCGGCTCATGCAACAGCTGATTTGATGCGTTTGGGCACTAGAGATTGCCCGCAAGGCTACTATAGATTGCCCGTGCAGGGGGCATTGGTCTTTAAGGGGTTGGTGGTTGTTGGCAAGGCCGTGAAGGGCCTTGATGTATCCGAATCATTGTTCTGATTTGTTCTGGAAAGGGCTCTGGATCAGGTTGAGCGAGAAAGAATGCTTTCAAAGGTAACAGGTCTGCGCACCATGCCGGTGATGTGCATTGCCGGCCGTTATGTTGGTCATCGGTTTTTTGAAAGGCCATGAGCCTGTCGTGCCAGTTGTCAAATGTCTAGCAGATTCACCACCTTAATGAAGTGACCTATTGCATTTGTTGTTCACGTGCGAGGACTGCATTGGGCTGGGATGTGGGGACACATTGCATATTGACTTTCTCTGTGGCACCCAATGACTTGGGATTGAAAGGATTGGCTGAATTTTTTGTCATCTGCTGTTTTATAGGCTTTGCTGAAATTACACTGTCTCTGGCATAAATTGGGGAGGGTGCACTGAGGTCATTGATAATGTGTGAAGAATGTGTCCTGTGCCCCCCCCCCCCCCTTCTACATTGAATGTGTCAACAAGGCTCCAAGGCATGATGTAGTCACACCTGAGCTACTGCCTGGATGTATAGATGTCTTGGGATATGGGCAAGTTTACCAAATTTTGTCTGTTCCTGCTCAAAGCATTACAATATACAGCTTTGACCTAACAGTTCAAGGGCTTTTATGTTCCTTCCCCAAAATATGTCTGAATTGGTTAGGAAGGTATATGAGCTGATGAAAAAATTGGTTGGAGTCTAACTAGCATTTTTTTGAATTATTATGTTCTATGCTGTTTCATGGTCTTAATTAGGGACATACTAGCCAAATATTTTGAGATATTTAGATCATTATGACAGTAATTCATGATGGGATTATGTGGAAAAACATTTATGCATTTGAGATGAATTTGTTGAAAGATATGTCCCAAAGACTTGTGTGCAGTGATTTTCTGAAAGATACTGTGTTGTACAGTTTCAAACTTTTCTTGCACCATTTTGCAAGTTGTTATTTATTGTCAGTTGCTGGCATTGTTAATTACAAGTCATGGTAATGGTGGTCAAGACATTAGTGTAAATGCAAAGAGCTCTTTGAAACATATGTGAACACCCTGTTAAGGTGTCTAAGAGCCCCAACTGTATTACTAAATGCCTATTTGTTGCAGGATGAATACCATGAAGTGGCTTCTGCAGCTGGAGAGCTTTTCATCCTGTGTGAGCGGCTGGACATATTCCCCGACGTTGAGAAAGTAACTAGTGCTGTTTGTTGTACCACCACTGAGTGGTGCTGATGAACCCCATAATTTGACTGGGAGGGAAGTTGTTTTGTTCCACATGTCTGAAGTTAGTGCACCCTACATATTCTAGGCTGGCCTGGGGTATACTTTCACAGGTCTTAGATTTATGTATTTGTTATGCAATTTTGGTGTAGCTTCATTTTTATTTTCTCCATGCATTCTGCCAGACCATTTGTTGTGTTTCACAGCATGCTCAATTCAGTGACCATAGCTCCATTTATCCAAGCCAACATTTGTTTATAGGAAATATGAATGCTGCCACACAAATTTTGCTGTGTCCAAAGTGTTTGCATGGATAGTTTTGGGCTCGCAGAGCCTCTGCCAAAGTCTGTAACATGCACCGAAATCTACTGCACAGTAATACGAGTTGCAACTCCATGTCATACCATTACTTTGTCTCCAGTCCTTTTGCTAGACTGAACCTGCCATTATGATCCAGACCCATCTTGTCGGTTGTCACACATCCAGAATGGTTGTGCCAGGCATATCACTTGGACAGCACTCCGGTCAGGTGCCAACAGACTGGGAGTCTGCTCAATTTCATGACATCCCTGTTATATAGTCTGACTTTCTTGTTGATTCTGTCTGTGCTGATTTGTTTTCTAATAAAACTGTAAGTGAACTGTTAGACAGGTTTGATTAATACCTGTGCAAAGCTCATGTGCAGAGCCCACAGTGCTATTGGTGCACAGCTGACAAGAATGTTTTTTTTCTGCTTTCAGGTTTTGTGCACCCACCATTGAGGCCTTAACTGAGATGCCTAGTATTCAAACTCTGACTTGTGTACAAAATGGTGACACATCTACTGTAGTCACTTGTGGCTAGGTGACAGCTGTGTTTGGCACTGAAGCATGTTTATGTATTGATCCCCCTCACAACCAAATTGAGTGTTCATGATAATGTCTACACTGAGAGTGTTATTAACTTGATGAAAGAAGAGAATGGAAATGGTAGGATCCTCCATGGAGGGAAGAACAACCTGTGTCATGTGTTTTATGTCATGGCTGAAGGCTGTAATGAGAATGAGACTTTGCTGCATCCATCCAGGCAGTTTCACATATGCTGTGAAGGCAGGAGGTTTTTGGAGTGACTTACTGCTCCTCTGATCGAGGTTTGGGCCCTAGATTGACCGCATGAAGGACAGGTAGGCCTTCACTGGGGATGCCAGATTGCCAGAATATGTCCCTCATGCCTTAGCTGACAAATAAAGCCACTGATTATTTGTTTCTTGACAGGAACTGTTATCAGGCAAGACAATTTCCGTCCGTTGCCCGTCGACTGAGCAGAGTGCCAGTGAATGGCTGCAGATGTTCCAGGACATGACAAAGACCACTTTGAGTGTGTTGACAACGTCACCCGGTAGACGCGAGCATTCATGGGTCTTGTACAAGGTAATGCACACATTGTTGTCGCGACCTGCATTACATGCCTGTTAATTTTGTTATAAATCATCTGCCAGCAGCAAAGTACAGATGTAACAGCTGAGTGGTTAACACCTTACACTCCCATGTGTGGAGGGGGGAGGTTGGCATCAGGTCATGGTTGCACCATGGCCCTTGAGCACGGTCTTTGCCGAAGTAGTCGCTGGCGCTTCATGTAAACAGTGCAACGACCTGCGTCGCACTCCCTGTAAAATATGGTGCACTCTGTTTTTTCTTAATTAGAGTGTAAGAGCTGATATCTCACCAGTTGTCGCGAAATGTCATTGTTAACTGATTGGCGCCTGACTAAAATGTTCACATCCTCTCATGCCTTTGAATTGAGCGGACCCGGGCCGACAGAAGGACTCGTTGGCGCCGTCGCAGGATGTTTGACACCCGTGCGATTCTCCGAATAGACGAGAGTATAGATTGTCGCCCACTAGCTCCAGCCGGCGGCCTCGCTTGTGGTCTTCATCTTGCACTCCAAGCATATGGGCCGCGAAACATGCTCAGAGTACGCGGACAGGAAGCCCTATTTACAGCCCAACGAGGCGCAGGGTCACACCCGTTCACGACAAGTCGTAGATAAATAAGGCTAAGTTTTCCTGCCCCTGCCTGTGCTGTCAGAGTTTCTTTGTCAGATAGTCTCCTCTAAATAAAACACTCTTCGTCCCACAGAAACGATTTCAATGCCAACACTACGCTCGGAAGAAGCCAGGGAAGGCGGGCAGGACTTCATTGCGTGACACTGGCTGTGCGGTCAACCTGACGGTCAGGGTTCGGAAAGTGGCGTTTGCAAACAGCGCTAAGAGCAGGTTCGTGTATTTCCGACCGGCTTCAGCGCTCGTGCATTGCATGATACCGCGCTCGGCGTCAGGACCTTGGCGAAACTTCCCGACGTCTGTCAGTGATCTAATCCGTGATATGATGCGATGGTTCACATCCGTTTTGTTTGCGTCATTTGCCACTGTGGTGATTTGCTTTTCTGTCGTCTGAAGTGTAATTTTGATCGTCGAGGGACTGCTATTAGTGCACCAAAAGTGACTATGGTGGAGCATTTTCACACATGACTTCAACGACCTTTGTATGATTCAGGTCCAAGAAGCCGGACGCCGGGTACGCCCTCAAGGTGCAGTCAAACGGTGTGCAGCATAATCACCCCAAGGAGTCGGCAGCCGTACTCAAGTTTCGCCGTGTCGGAGAGCCGGCGAGGGCCAGGCTCATAGCTCTGTTCGAGCAGCACCACACGCCGGCGTCAGCCCTGCACACTCTGAAGGCGGAGCTGCAGGCGGAGCACGGGGACAACTTCGCGATCGTTTCGGCAGACCGCGCCGTACTGCCCGACATTCAGTTCGTCTATGAGTAAGTCCTGTGATCGACACCAATGATAGATGCAAACGGAAATGCGTTGCCCATATGATGTTATTTAGAAAGCAAAACTTCCTTGAGCTAGGGCAGCTGATGGCACAAAATGTCATCACATGAGAAGATGGCTAAAGTGTTACAGAATGCAATTTATCTATGTCTATCTTTCTATCTATCCATATATCTGCCCATCTATCCATCTATCTAGCTCGCTATCAATCAATCTATCGGGTCGGTATCGAAAGCCCTAATGTTTGTAACCACTAAAGTGTCGCAACGCCTAATGTATCAAAACCGCTAGTGCTTCATAACGCCTAATGCACGTGGCACCTAATGTGTCATAACCCCTAAAGTATCGCAACTCCTAATATGTCACAACGCCTAATGTATCGGAACTCCTAATGCATCGTAACTCCCAGTGTGTCATGAGGCCTAAGGTATCGTAATCCCTAATGCTCGTAGCCTCTAACGTAACACAACTCCTAATATATCATATTCCCTAATGCATCATAACACCTAGTGTATCATAACACCCAAGGTGTCGTAAGACCCAACGTACCGTAATTCCTGACGATCGTAACCTCTAATCTAACACGACTCCTAATACGTCATAACACCTAATGTGTCATAAGACCTAGTGTATCATAACCCCTAATGTTCGTAATTCCTAAATCAGCTGACTGCGGTGGGTTTGTCGCACACGATTCTGACCCGCACAGCTGGACGATGTGCAGTCTACTTAAGTCTACCGAACCACCTGCTAGTATTCCGGAGCCACCGCAGTCACGATGGAACAGTTCCCGCATTGTACGAGGCGGGTGAGACTTAGCCGTGTAAGACGTTGGGGATGTCAGCTCCGAAAATCAGTTAGGGTATGAGCCGAAAACGTTGAGGTGATGTGCCCCCGAGACCTGATTTTTCCCCGGGTTCCGGCCACATGAATTTGCTTCCAGGACGTTCGAATCTAAAGAAAGCCTTCTGGTAAACTTAAATTACTTTCATCCGAAGGGATGGCTCCCCAATTTCCAGTTCATATGAAGCTAGGGGGGGGGGGGGGGGATTATGGCAACGCCTATTGCTCGCAACCACTTCTGTATCTTAACGCGTAATGTTTGAGACACTTGTATCCCGCTGTGATTATGCAGTGAGGCTGGTATGTTGACCATGCAAGTGAGACCTGCCATATCAAATGTTATGTTCTGGAGGGTGGTTTTATTTCAGCTTGCTGGCTCTAGCCCTCCACCCTTTATGAGCTTCAAACAAGGAGCGCTGAGAACAGATTTCAGCCATGCGAGAACTGTGACAAGCATGACTGAGGTTCAAATACTGATCATCCATCCGTGCGAGAACTGTGACAAGCATGACTGAGGTTCAAATACTGATCATTCATCCGTGCAAGAACCGTGACAAGCGTCACTCAGGTTCAAATACTGGTTAACCAGCTCCCTGCATTCCAGCTACCTTACTTTCATGTCACCCTCTTCATCTCCTTGTGAGCTTCAAGCAATGAGCACTGAGAACTGATTTTTTCATCAATCCCTACTGATATTCTGTTACTCCATTACACTTCTCAGAGCCCATCGGCTCGGAAAGCACAAAAATGAGTGTGACAAGAATCAAGAATGAGTTTGAGAGAATTGAGTTTGAGAACATCGCCCAGCTTGCCTCGTCTTCCAGTACTGTATGCGCCACAAACGCCCGCATAATCTGGTAGGCTTCAGTGGAAGTTCAGATGCGGTCGAAAGGGTTGAAAATCGCCAGCCCTCGCCAGCGTCGTCAGCTGATATTAGGGGTTACGATACGTTAGGGGTTATGATACACTAGGTGTTTTGACACATTAGGTGTTATGATACATTAGGAGTTGCGATATATTAGAGGTTATGAACATTAGGCGTTATGATACGTTAGGGGTATGAAACATTAGTGGTTATGATACACTAGGCATTCCGATAGGTGCATTAGGTGCTGTGACATATTAGGAGTTGCAATACATTAGGAGTTGTGGAACATTAGGTGATTTGATACACTAGGCCCAATGATACATTAGGTGTAGTGACACATTAGGGGTTATGATATATTAGAGGTTATGAACATTAGGCCTTGTGATACGTTAGGAGTTACGAACATTAGGGGTTATGATACATTAGGGGTTATGGTATATTAGAAGTTATGAACATTAGGCATTGTGATACATTAGGTGTTTCAAACATTAGGCGTTGTGATACATTAGGGGTTATGAACATTAGGTGCTGCGATAATCCCCCACCCAATCCATCTGTCTGTATATAGGTGTATTTGTATAAATAGATGCGTTTGTCATATATGTATATGTTCACATGTAGATATAGATATAGATATAGATATATGTATATATATATATATATATATATATATATATATATCAAACATATCTAAAGTGATGGTAAATTCTATGATCTTATTTCTTATGCTTGCCTAACAGTAACAAAGCGATGTAAGACAGGCCTTGTCTCACTACACCCCTGGTTCAGTCATAGTGGCAAAAATCAGCCTTATTCCTCTAATTACTCCTTCATTGTGCTTTCAGGCTGTACAGGAAAGTGTTCTACAAGAAGCAAATTTCGCCATCGAGCACAAACCTGGAGTTCCAGCTGGAAGACGTGGTGACCGACACTGCTCTTCAAACAACAGCTCTTGGTTAGAGACTCCACTATATAATGTATTGCATTGTATTGGTTCGTGACTCTGTGCTAGTCAAGAACCACTCAAGGTCAAGGACTGGTGCGCTCGGGCCCGAACATCATCAGAGTTAGATAAGTCAGGCATGGGTAGAAGTTTAAGGGTTGGTACGTCTCTGGGCGCCGACACCAACACGGTCAGAAGCCAACAGTTCCTCCGCCAAATCATGGGCGCATGCTTATGGGCTGCACTGTGAGTCGCAAACGTAAATGAGATGAATAAAACAGATCTGTTATGCCCCAAAGGCATGTCGTGTGCGGGCAGTTATGCAGTCCTTACGGTGGTGCATTTCTACCCGTTTTCGTTTGATGCAGGTCACCTGAAATAACCATATGAGAGCATCTGTGTGTCCAGTTTAAACCGGGTAGTTTTTTTATTAGATCCAACCACAAAAAAACGGGGGCAGTAGTTCTGGGATATTGGCTCTAAGCGTGTCTCATCAATACGCCTCTTCGCCACATCTGTTCGCGTCGTCATGAACAACCGTCTGCCGCACGCGACCATTGCTGTCGGGGGTCATCCAGCGTCTCGGAGGTCGCTCATTGATTTCCACAGATCGCATGGACTGGTCGGGCGGATGGCTGGAGCCGCTGGCTGTCGGAGCGTCTGTTGACTGTGGCCCTTCGGACGCGGGGCCGCCTACGGACGCCGTTGGACGGCCCGACGGCGCGTGGTGCCCAGAGACCGACGACTCTGCTGACCTGGACTCGTGCGACGACGCCACGGGGTGCCGGTCGTCCACGTCGTCAGAACAAGCGGAGGCAGCTGCCAGCGTGCAGCGCCAACTGGACGGCTTTACCCGGTGCTTGGTGCAGCGTGTCAGGACGGACCCTCACTGGCATGTGTGGGCGAGTGGCGTCGAGTCGTTCTTGCGCCGCTGGAGGTCGTTGACCCCAGCTCGCCAGGTGTCGCTGCTGCGCGGCTCTGCTCGGGGCCGCGGCAGGGGCGCCGCCCGCATCGGCATGCAGCGCGCGGCAGCGGCTCCCATCCGCCTGACGACTCTGCGGGACTGAGAGCGTCGGCGGCGCGCCGGCCAGGCGAGGCGGCCGGAACCGCGGAGAAGGACTGCGGTGCCGCAGACGGGTGCCGGGCGCCCGCGCCCCGCCGCCTCAGCGTGCGCCGCCTCGGGCCGGCCGCTTCGACGCTAGGTCGTGACGACGGGGACCGGCGGCGAGTGGTTGCAGATTGTGATACCGCGCGTCATTGTGCCAACGAGCGCCCAATATTGCGGTGTCGGTACTTGTGTCGCCGTGGCCGCGGCCTGGCACCCGCACCAGCGGCAGCCAGTGACAAGTGCCGGTGAATTTCGCGATTGGCGCTGCGGCAGCGAACTCAAGCTAGGCTATTCTCAGGCAGCCGACGGTGCACTTGGCAGCCGCCGACGATAAAGACGCGGGGCAGCTGGCCTGGCGACTCGCCGTATCTACGGGGCTGACCAGCCTCCGTTCCTTCGGTCGTACCTTGTGTGAGTGGTGCCCTAAGTGGTGCTTGTTTTCTCGTGATGTCTTTGTCCGTGTTTCCGGATGTCCTTGCCCACTCATTAGCTCAGGAAGTCGACCCGCGCGGTCACTGGAGTGGCCACCGATGTCCGGGAGTTCCCACATGACTCGCACAGACTCTTGAATGTCTGAGTTGTCTGCGCTACTGGTGTGTTTTGCGCAGGTGTGACGCCCTGCCGGGATGGCGAACGATTGCAGACACGTGCCTGCGCTGCTCCTGATCGTTGGCCACGATGGTGCTTCCTATCGGGGCGTTTTTTTTTCTTGTCAGATGGGTACTTCAAGTCAGAATTACGTCGAAGTTTCAAATTAGGGCATAATAAACCCATGATTATCTTGATCTCAATGCTAAGCGTGAGTAAACGTTATTTCTTATAACTTGTTGACTGTTCAGCTCTTCGGACTGACTCCAGCTACATGCACAGTCTAGATGCTTAGAGCGTCGCTTGTGAACAGGGGGAACCCGAGTTGGATACGGCAATGGCGACAATGCAGCCTTGTTTCGCACTTTTTAGCATTCAGATAACATGACATTTGCTCTTGGAGGTACCGCATGGTCGCATATATTAGAGTCCAAGCCCATGTTAGGCGTGTCATGTCAGGATCTAGGCACTAGATACCCGCGGCTATCAAAGTTACGGATCTATCGCCGGTGCGACCCGCGTAGGGTCTGTGCAGTGGCTCACCCCGGCCGTGATTTTGGTTGTCCAAGAGCGTTGATTTTACTTGTCCGGTGGAGTGCCATCGCTTTCCGGCGTCATTTCCTCTCGCACTACGTGCGAGTGTTACGTGCTGGCGGCTTCGTGGGTAGGCGTACAGTGTGTAGTATGAGATCCAAGTCGCGTCAGGTGGTGGATATAGCATTCCCGCCACGATCGTAAATTATTGTCGGGTGATTTGGACCAGGCCGTTGTCATCCCAATGCCTCAACGCGTGTTTCCATGATTCAGCGGATTGACGTCAACGGGGGTACACTTTCATCGTCTTTTGACACCCCCCTTTCTATAAAAGTAATTTTTTGTTTTTGTGTGCATTTTCATTCTACTTTCATAATTTTTGGTGCTTTTTATCGTTAGTAGATGCGTACTGCTGTATTTGGACTTTGCAGTGAATAAGTGAATCTCTATGGCGGATTGCAGCACTTTTAGGCAGTTTTTGCCGACAATTCCATCGGTTGCCATGGGTGACGGCGTGACGCTATCAAACAGCCGCAAGGACGGCGGAGAGCTGAATGGGCGGTAGTAAGAGAAGATAGTATTAAGCATGAGTACAGTCATTTACAAACACATGAAGGAGCCCCCCGTAAAGGCCGCGGAGTCGCACCCTCTGGCCCGTCCCCAGGAACCTACCCTAGAGTGGCCACAGTGCAGGGTGTCTCGAGCGGACGAGATGCACGGCTTACACAAGGTTTGCGCCGGACTGAAACATGCCTTTCCATTGCGCATGCGCACCACCCCGCTATGGCACCTGAAACGCCTGATTCGGGGCTCTTTCCATCGCTCGGTGGCCGGCCTCGGCTTCCCGAGACATCACGGCCGCCACCTGCCATCTAGCGAGAAATCTCCGAATTAGCTGACCCTCGGCGCCACTTCCAGCCGAGGCCCGCGCCATGCACGACGGACGGTATCCGTCTACTGTACCAAGCGTCCGCACCAAGTCGACCGCGGAACGGCACGTGAACGGTGCACCGCTGGGGGTAAAAATGTTTACACCTCTAATCCGCTGCCCGCGAGAAGAACCACTGATGCGCTGGCTTTCGGTTTGAGGTTTACATTTAGGAAGGAGCGGAACATTAATATTTGAAAACTCAGGGCGTGTGGTGCGCCGTTCAGGAAACCCTGAGTCGATGAGGGCCTATATCACGGTCTGGCACCAGCAGTACCGTACGGTCGGCTCAATGTTGGCGTGGGCCTGAGAGCCCACTTTCAGAGTAGCGACCAAGCTGGGGCCAGCGATTCACACTGGTCGGGCCCCTGCATCTATCAGGGGCCCACAGTGCCTACCAGAGGGTCCTGTATTGGCAAGGGGTCCCGAGTCAACCGGGGGCAGTGTTCAAAGAGGCGCGAAGACGGGCCCAGGGCTCCCCGAGACCGACGATCAAGAACTTGTTTGGAGGACATATGGGCCGAATAGCTTGCTGTAAGTTACACAAAAGATCACGGCCCGTAGAGCTATGGCCGGTAATATCAGACAAAGAGCCTCTTATACCAATTGAGGAATCCCTGATACACTGCAGGCGTCTATGCTAGTCGGAGATCACTAACATTGAACGGTTGGCTCCGTGTCAGTCTGATCTCTGGTATCCTATTTCCAAGCAAAGGTGAGGCCGGGTCTCACGATTGGTCTGGGTCACTGAGACTGATTGGGCCCCTGTGTCGGTCGTAGGTCCACGATGCCCAACAGGGGTCCATCTGTCGGCAAGTGGTCCCCAGCCCGTCACGGGCTTTGCTTGAGTAGGCCCAAAGAAGGGCCAAATGGCCCCTTGAGACAGAGATCAGAGGCCCGATTGTAAGGCTGAAGCGGCCAGAGGGCATAAAGGGCATGAACAAAGGGCCTGAGGGTATGAAGAAAGGGCCAGGGCATGAACAAAGGACCTGAACGCCGTAGGTCACAATAAGGACACCCCCGCCTGTCGGGACGTGACCGCCAAGGCCAGGCAGAGGGCCTCTGCATCGATTGGGGATCCGTGGGACAGTTCGGGCCTCTTTATCCACCAGAGACCACAAGCACGGAACAATCGGCTCCAAGTTGTTCTGAGCTCTGATTGTCCATTATCGATGCGCGGGCAAGCCCCGGACCACGATTTGCATTGGCCGGGATCCCTGAAATAATGAGGGCGTCTTGGATCCCTGAAATAATGAGGGCGTCTGTCATGGGCCTACAGTGCCAAAAAAGGGTCTGGTGTCGACAAGGGGCCCCGAGACGGCCAGGGCAACACTTGCTGAGCAGGGATAGTGACGGGAGCCCAAATGCCAGAGGGCCTTTTACGTTGATGGGGGCAACAGCACAAAGTATCTTCAGCTTCCACTTATCGTCATTTCGTGTCAGCTCAGTAGGTCTGGATGTTCTTAAAGTTTCACTCAGAACCACATGTCAGCACTCTGCAAGCTGCATTTTAACACCCAACGAATCGGGGTACTTTCATAGCTTTATTCAAAGTTGTTCATACCAGTGATTGAACACTTGGACTCAATCTAAGCCAGTTCGGTTCTAAAATAGTTTGGCCGGATGAGTCCGTATTGAAAGGGAAGGGCTTGGCTACGCCTCTGGTGCATGTGCTGGGCATTTAATAAATAACAAATGTGGTGGTTGGAAAAAGCTGCATATACTGTTCGGGTCTTTAACAGCCAGGCATTCCGCGCTGTGCGTTTTCACTGTTGGAGCCTTTGTCATCATCAGGCTTGCATCTATCACCGGGACGCGAGCAAGCCCGTCTGATTTTCGACAAATGAAGTCGCATGCACAGCACCGAACTAACCGTCGCAACAGGCCTCGGTGATCGCTCGTCCACTGCGTCAGGTGTGTCAGCTTGTGCGGAATACTCGGAATCTGCAGCACGTTCAGACCGAGGGCATCTTCAGCCAGCAGCAACTCAGTCACCCAACTTGGCAGCGCAGGCAGCATCGACTAGCCAAGGGTCGATGAGGATTGGATGTGGCCAATGCTGTTGCACCACGTTCCATCAGCCGGAAAACCTGCGCATTCGCCCAGCATATCATGAACGTGCCCTGTCTACAAACAGCAGGCTATGAAGGCGAATGCGTGGCTTCCAAGTCCCAGCTGGATGCTGGCATCATCTATGCGGCGCTCGGGGTGCTGCAGCCGGCGGAGGAGACCATGGACTCGCTGGATTGCATCTGATCGTGCTTCTGCGTTAACGAGATGACTTTGCACAGTCGGCAGTCGTATAGCTGAAGGCTGTTGTCAAACGAAAAATATCGTTGTTAATACATCTGATGCATTCAATATGAATAGCCAAAAGTTGATAAGCGTGGATTGTGATGGACTATTAGACTGCATTTGGTTTTAGGATTAAGCGAGTTCTATCCAGTATTTGCCGGGCAAAGGTGGAATAAACCAGCGGTACTATTCGCATCATGAAACCAGCTGTCGTCAGGGTCTAGCTCTGGTGAATGACGAGGCCCCAGTGTGCATTGACCTGACTGTTCCCGTTAGATGGAGCCGCACGAATGTGCCCGGCCAGGTCCGGGTCAGGGACCCCGATCAAGGAACTTGGGGTCTAGTAGCCGTACAAACTCCCTGCGTTGCTATACCCAACCGCTCTTCAAAGATTTCTCAGCCAGGGAGATGGGAGATACGCCCGCGCCCGCTCCGGTACACCACCATAGGCTACATCGATACGACCATTGTGTTCTAGCGAGTTCTATCTGCCAAACCGAGGTCCAATCCAAATGCCAGCTGGCGGGCAGAGGCGCCGTGGATTGGCTTGGGGTATGTTCTCGGGGGGTGGGGGGTGGCACTTGTGATGCGCAAAATGAACTGTCAACCGGGGGATGCAGTTTTCAGTCCATCTGGTATTTCCGGAGTAATAAAAGCCATTACGTCGAGCGCTGCTTTGGCGTAAAATGCGACGAACCGTTCTGGAATAGCTTGTTTCCTGAGTCCTTTATTACCACCTCAGCTCTTGAATTTCCTTCAAAATTAGGCTTAAGTGCAAGAGCTTTTCATTCAGTCATAGTTAGTTTGATCTTTCAAGTCATTCCACAGACCAAGCGTGTTGTAATACATGCAATCTCTCTTGCCCGTTACCACGCGTGCGGCCGTCCAAGCGTTAAGGGTGCCCCCCCCCCCCCCCCAGTGACGTCACATGGGGATCTTTGCTGGGAAGTGTGCTATCGAGACGGTTCCGCCCGATGTATATCGCCTTGAGGCCAGGCGCAAGGCAGGATAGTTGGCAGCGGCTCGTAGTTTTTTTTTAGGGCGTTTACACTATGCACGATAGTTATCGTCCAACGCTCATGATGGAGTAATCATTCAGCATTCATTTTGTGACTGAAGCTAGCCCGCCAGCTCCACAATAAAATGACAGTGATATCAGCAAAAACACTTAATAACTTAACGAGTCGTTTCGAAGGAAGTTGATTCAAGGTGATCTTTAAATATTGCCCATTGTTTCTTTCAAGTTAGGTAATATTGGAACTCTACTGCGAACTGGGACGACCAGAGGCACAACCTTTGGGCGTTGATAAGGGGTGGGGGGAAGGGGAGGGGCCATCACACAGTTGGTAAGGACCTCTGATGATGAAAGCCTCCCCCCCCCCCCCCACTTCACACACACACCATAAAAAACCGGATTTGGCCCACTTAATTTCGGAGGAACACAATTTCCTACTTTTAGATGCATTGTCGTTACTTTTAAATGGAGCAGAAATCAGGCAACGTACCAAGAGATGCATTTCCGTTTGCATTTAGATGCCGATAAAATGAAGGGGGTGGGCGTTGGTGTTTATTTTAGAATGCTTAAAAGCGATTTTCTAAGCCAGCAGAGCTCAGAGGCTTTGTCAAAGTTTGTTCTGGGTTCTACAGCTATATTGAGAGCCTCGTGACGTGTAAGTCGGAGTGGGGTCAATATTCTTTATTAACACGGTAAGCCAACGCTCGTCAGCAACGGTTCAAACTTCAGCCACTCAGACAGCAAGATTCGCTCATCAAAAAGAAAATAACGTAGTATCGCTTAGCACATAAACGCTCGGAAGTTTTAGGAAAAAGCCGACGCCCGGCGTTGCAGCCTCCATCAGCTGCGCGGCGTCCTGTGTCAGCTAACACTCTCGGTAGATTTTTTCCACCATACGATTTTTATACTGATAGCAGAAACGGAGCACTATTTACATCACCGCGATTTGGTGCTGATATGTGGTATTGGAAATGGACAGGGCGGATCTAAACCTTCTTTTTTGGGGGTGTGGGTGTGGGTAAACCGCTCTTGTCGAATTCCATTTAAACACCGAGTGGCTCACACACACACATACACACACACACACACACACACACACACACACACACACACACACACACACACACACACACACACACACACACACACACACACACACACACACACACACACACACACGCACGCACGCACGCACGCACGCACGC